CGTACAGAACTTGCATCAGTGAGTCCCCTGCTTCTTGGCCAGGCAGATGGGCGAAGAGGACAGCTTTGACTGAAGGCAGATCGTGCCACTGATCCATGAGAATGGGACCGACGGTATGTACCACAACCACAACGTTGGAGTACTTGGCTGCTACGTCCCTGATAAGCTTATCGCCATTGTGCCATAGGTTGAGGTTCGAAGAAGTCCGATCTCCTGGGTTGTTCTCAACAGTAATATAGTTTTCGCCAGAGTCTGCAGTCACGAAGACGACGGCAGTGTCGCTCGGCGATGGATTCGAGTTTCCAGGGAAGGAATCCGTGTTGAAGAACTGAAAGTCGGCGCCTCGGGTCTTGAAGCCGTCGATGGGGCTGTTCATGTAGGGGTATCTTGCTGAGCCAGAACCCCATCCCATTCCTAGTGTGCCTTTGTTGCATCCTTGGTCCGCGCACGAGTTTATCCCATCGGGGTTCTTCTCCGCGTCAGTGCCAAAGATCTTCAGGGTACCGTTGGAAGACAGAGGAAGCAAGCCGTCCTGATTCTTCAAGAGCGTGATAGCATCGCGGGCCACTTCACGAGCGACCTCTGCATGGTCGCCCTGAACATCCACAAACTCATTTACGATGCCTTGAGGCGAGATAAGAGCGCCTGGGTAAAGAGGACCTTCGGCGTTCTGAGTGTTGGCGTCGAAGTTGGGTCGCGGGTAGTCCTGATCCTGGCCCATCTTGAAGTAGGTGGCAAGGATGCGTGTGACAGCATCGTTCAAGCGGTCCACCGGGAGAGATCCGTTGAGAATGGAACGCGACTGCTCGTACATCCAGTAAGAGTTGCCAAAGAGTGGAATGGTGTGGATGTCCCCAGGCATGGACATGTCAAGTCCTGCGAGCGCCGAAGGGACACCGGAGATTTGAGCAAGCCAGTCAGACATGACGAAGCCCTGGAAACCGAGCTCCTCCTTCAATATACCGTTGATCAAGTAGCTGTTCTGCGAGCATGCACTTCCGTTGACAGCGTTGTAAGCAATCATTACAGCACCGACACCGGAACGTACGCCCTCAGCAAATGGCCAAAGATAGAGTTCATGAAGCGTGCGATCGTCCAAATTCGATGAAATGCCAGGCTTGACCAGGTTGTACATGCGGTACTCTTCCTGCTCGTTTGCGATCAGATGCTTGATTGTGGCTATGACGCCCGTGCTCTGGATGCCTTCGATGGAAAGAGCTCCACCAAAAGCCTGGAGAACAGGGTCTGAGCCGAAACCTTCCCAGTCTGTATTCTGTTAGCCCAAACACCAACGCTGGCTTTTAGTGATGCACTTACTTCTACCGCCACGCGGTTTACGACCTAGCGGACCGACCGACGGTCCGAGATGAACGTTTACTCCCTTGCCACGGAACTCTTCGCCGATCGCAACACCACGACGATAGAGAAGATCCTTGTCCCATGTGGCTCCCACCGTGATGCCGGCAGGGAAGGCAGTGTTGTGGTCCGTGTTTCTGACACCTAGGGGTCCGTCCTGCAAGCAGAGTTGAGGGATGCCTACTCTCTCTGCACTGCCTGTGTTTCCGACGCATCTTCCCATGAAGATTCCACTGCCGGCCGTGAGGTTGGTCTTTTCGGCAAGTGTCATGTTTGAAACAAGAAGAGATGCCTTTCGGTAGCTCTCAGTCCAGTCCGATACCCATCCTCCATGGGGAGCTATGTAAAATCAGTATCGCTTTGCTCGGTACAAAACTAGTCGATCGATGTTGTCTCCGAAAACTTACCTGGGTAATATGGTGCCGCAACATATCCAGCTGGAACAGGATTACGTCGCTGAAGAGCAGCACCAGCGGCGAGTGTAGAGAAACATAGGACAAGAGAGGGAATCATGATGAAGGAATGACTTTAGGTCAGCGAGTGAGCGTCAAGCAGGACGGTAGCCTTCAGTGAGACATGGGAAGGAGATGAAGGTCCTTTGTACAGAGAGCCCCTGCTTGAGCCAAATCCAACCCCGCAACACCAAGCCGGTGTGGATATCGCATTTCTACCAAAACTAAGCATGCACTAGCCATGGTGTTGTATAGTGATAGGCACGGTGGGTAACGCGCAGGACGGAAACAGGCATAAGACCGAGTAGTATTGTCGTGCGTCAAGGCGCAATGCTGGGGTCAAGGATTTAGGCCGGCTAATGATCGGATGCTCAAAAGGCGCATGACAATCTTGGAAGGGACTGCAGCTGTTGCACAACCGCCAGGAGCAGCGCCATACGCCTGAGGCAAACCAACTCTTCTTAACAGAAAAAGGACAATGAGGAACGTCCTCGCTCACGAAGAAAAGTACGTGCCTAGTGTATATTCAATGTGATTGGTCTTGAACTGATCTTCGTATCCCGTGTGGAGTGCTAAGTTCAAGACTGGGGTATAAAGTCGTTGTATTGCCAAGCTGGCCGTCTCCTACAAGCTGCCTGTATAGGTGTACCACGATCCGATCTAATCGAGTGTAAATTGCGAAGGCTTTATCCAATGCGCCACGTGCGGCGATAGCAGTCATGCGGCACGCCGCGTCGAAGCCATGATCGTAGCTGAATGTATTCGTCTTCAGTCACATCAATGGTCCTATCACATGTCAAAATACCCGTTGGCTCAGACAGTGGATGAAGGGATTGTGGGGTGGAGATGAAGACGACAACGAGGATCGCGATGATGGACAGGGGCAAGGCGACCTCGGCTGCACTGGCATTTCCCCTTTCTGCTTCCGGCGCACCCATCGAGCTTCTTCTCCGTTAACCACCGCGCCTGTGGACCTATGATCTCATGTTCAAAACACACCGGCATTATGCGAATTGAACTGTACCGAGATGGAGTATTGGATGCGATCTTAGCATACACCAACCGAGCTACTGGCTCAACTTGAATCTGAGTCGTCGATCAAGGGCAATTCTTGCCGAGTAGGGGACAATTGGAAGCGGTGCTTTGGAAGAGTACTCTTGCCCCTTTGAAAGCGCTGAGCGGTAAACATCAACGCAATGCTTTCGCTCTACACAAAGATGAGCACCTTCGACGTGACTACACAATCATCAGACGCTGAAGGTACACAGTTCATGAGAAGTGGCCCAACCGCCTGTGGCATTGAGGCTCACGGTCTGAGCGTTTTCGAATGTTCGTGCATCGACAGCGAAAGGCCATAGCGGAACCCCAAGTTCCACGAATGACTCTGGTCTGGTAGCTATGCAAGCCCGAAGTTGATCCGACATGCTGAGCGAGTTGGGAACCAAGCGAACGCGCGTGCTACGATGGTTGCAAAGCATACAACATAATCGGAGAGGACCATCGAGGCATTTGATGGTTGGTTCAACAGAGTGACCAGCTACCTGGGTACCGAGACACATTCGCTGGGGTACTGAGCAGTTGCTATTCTCGATGGACCACACCCAACTTCGATTCGGAAATTCTTGTTGCTATTCTCCGGGCACACGGTGCGGAGTGCTCTCTCCGCGGTTGAATGGTGAATCGCAAAAAGTGACGATGTTGGGGTGAGGAGGCTTGGTGCATGCTGTTTATCGATTTATCGATTCTGGTGAGTTCGGATGCCGAGGTTGGGGCTGTGTGAAAGGCCACGCTGCAGCATCAGACGAACGCTTCTCTGGTGCGACGGGACCGCTTGTCGAATCGAGAAATCCTTTGTATGGAGCACTACCAAAACGCATCTTCTAGTCATCTACCGCTCGGCTATGCCCATACTTAGAATACCTACGTAGTAGAGCGCGGCATCGCTGCACCCACACAGGTCTGCGTTGCAGGTGCCGTCGAATCCGACGCAGCTGCAAGCGACGCGGTACCGCACCTGCGAAACACTGCTATAGCACGTCAGGTATCGATCTCCAAAGCTCCAGTTCGTCAGAGGCACAGCAACGGCCGGCAGCAGTTCGCGGGCGCTTCTCATGGGAGCCTTGGACAAAACGTGCTTTCGGTTCTTCCCGCGGTCCCGCTGTGATATGAATTCTTGTTTGCTGAGACCCACAACCCACACTCGCCCATCCAGTGACCGCGCCTATCGTGAGCGCCTCGCGGGCTATCGGGCGGCCGCATGTTCTTTTTGCGTCTGGGGGTCGGCTATTCTCAAGCCCCCCAAGGTTTCCTTGAGCTCCCTGAGCTCAGTGCGCCGTTTCGAAAACTTCTTTGGAACGGGTTGCTGACCTTCCACTCCACGTTCTGCACATGCATCCATCTGCAGGTCCCCGAGCTCAGCCCTACTGATTATTGATGACTACGACATCCTACAGGTGTTCGACCAGATGAGGCACCCCTTGCCCTTGTGTCGCTTGCCAAGGTCTTTATTTGGGCCCTATGCGCTCGCCGAATCAGATTAGCCGCCCTTTCCCCTCCATCGCTGCCCCTCCACCACTCGCCAGCGGGGATATTCTTAGACACATCCGCATCAGGGAACACAGTGGGATATTCTCAAACAGGCGCTTCCGCTATAGTCTCCCTTCCTTGTTCGAGGGACGAACCGCTCACGGTTTGTGCTTCGACCATTCACAGGCCCAATTTGGGCCTGCCCTGGTCCCTTTTCATGGCGCTTGGAGCCACGACCCAGTGAACAGCCTCCTCTTCGCCTAGCCGCACATGCCGTTCTCGGTAGATGAAGATCGATCCGGCGATTACAGAAACATGTCCTGGTTTCAAAACAATTCTCCGAGTGGCCTACTGGTCTTTGTCGTGGATGGAGGCTCTGTATGCGGCTCACTGTATAAAGATGTCGGCCATGCCCCCTTGATAGAGCCTCAGACAATACAGACCCAAAGGTACGAACAGCAGTTGTTTCATTTCTATTCGCAAGGATATCTCCTACCTGTCGTTCCTCATCCGTCGCTCTCGTTCTCCTACGCCAACTGTCCCCTAATCATAATACGCTACTCGGTCGCTTCCATTACTCACATCTTCCTCCTCGCCGCGTATTTCCTATCTCCATTCTTGTCATCACTTTCTTGTCCTACTAGTCTTTTCATTCAACTGGTCAACATGCCTAAGATTGAAAAGGGCCCGGCGCACCGCCTTTCTGTGTCGACCGCATCGGCCGCAGGCGGAACTCGCAGTTCCTCCTGGTCCGCTAGAGATGACGAGACGCTCATTCAGGCCAGGGCTCAAGGCCTCAACTGGAACCAGATTGGACCGAAGCACTTCCCTTCCAAGACTCCAAATGCCTGTCGCAAACGGCACGAACGGTTGATGGAGAGGCAAAATGCAGAGCAGTGGGACGGCGTGAAGCTGGACGTACTGGCGCAAGCCTATATGGAAGTGCGAAGGGACATGTGGAGCATGTTGGCTGCCCGAGTTGGAGAGAAATGGCAATTGGTAGAGACAAAGGTACGTCGTGTGAGTTCGTTCTTATTGAGGCATTTTGTGTTGACTCTACTCAGTGTATGGAGAAGGGTCTCAAGAACCTCACTCAGGCCTTTAGGTCGGCACAAAAGAAGCTCGAGAATGGTACCTACCACGACCATGAAGATAGTGGCGTAGGCATTTCTGACCTGGAAGAAGAACAAGAGGATCCCCACGTGGAAATGCATAGCATGACTACAATTCCCGAAAATCATTACTCCGCATACCAAAGCTACCCATTACATCAACACCAACATCAGCAACGGGTACCGAGCATCCAGTCTATGCTGCAGCCAATGCCACAACACCAACATCACATGCAACAGCCGATGCAACAACAGATGCAACAACAAATGCACCCACCGATGCAGCAGCCGATACAGCAGCCGATGCAGCAGCCGATGCAATACGCTTCGCATCACCTCTCGCATCAGCAATAGACTCGCAGTGTCATTGCCAGCTGGTTGACTTTTCTCTCAATGTCTCTTATCCGTTTTACATCTCCTTGTCACGATCGCTACGAACTCTCAGCTTGCCTTCAAAGCGGCAAGCAGTCTCTTTTTGTACCAATACCCACCATGGGGAAACATTCGATACCACGGGCAGCCTCTCTGATGGCTTTCTCAGCCACGCATCAACTCGATGACGGACTCTAGCCAGTCGTTCTGGCAGTTACCTTATACCCCTTGAGCCTACGACATTTGTACGGAGGACTGTAATCAGGAAGGAGGAACCGGACATTTATTCCCATCTGGACCGGGGATGTGAGAAGGCTTAATTGGCGTTTTTTATTTTCGAGGTTTCCAGTACATGCTGTTCATGGCAGCACTTGGGCATGGAGAAGGCCCTTGTAGATGATGTAGCCATGTATTTCTTGTCAATGTTATTTCTTTTTTCCACTTTATTTCACGTCGCGTCCATGTTATGCAATGGCTGTCATATTGTCCAACATGTGGAGCTAGTCCTGCCCGTTATTGTATATATTTGAAAATAGGCACGTTTCACGTGGACAATCAACAACAGCCTCAGCCAGCATACTACCTAGGTAGTAACCACAGAGACTCGGCTGCGTCGACTATGGAATCGCCCACAAGTCATGACAGAACCCCTCATCAAGCGCTTTATTGTCATGTTTCAGTCGTTATTGTGACAGCTACAGCACAGCCCCACACGCACTCAGCCTCACTGCACCTATATTCTACCTCACCCCGCAAACTCCCAATACAATCTCGCAGCACCTTGCAGCCCCCAAATATACGTATTCTTGCAGCGGCAAGATAGCTATCCGCCGCTCACCAAGACCCGTGGGCGCGTTGACGCGCAGGCTGGGAATCGATCTCGGGCCTCGATGGTGCCGCGCTAAGAAGGTATCATGACATAACCACCGTTCCGGCCGCACGCGCGCTTGCTGGCCCCCAAATCTGCCCTTTGGTTTCTGCAAAGGTACACGCGAGATGTTACAATGTTTGAGCGTGTGCGATTGAGCGATGCCCCGAGCCCCCCTGCTTCGCGTTCCCTATACCGATCCCCTCCCGGCACCTAAGCTGATTCCTGCGAGCGCGACGACGGCGAGCGGTGCCATCGCGGCTTTGGTCGACTTCTTGTCGCCGTCCTTGTCCACGTCTAGTACGCCTTCGAGGGCGGCGCAGTCGAGGCTCTCTAGTCGGCTCGATCGTGGCGAGCATGCGGGCAAGACGCTGCTGCTTACCGGGGCGGGTATCTCGGTAGCGTCTGGCTTGGCCGATTACAGAGGCACCAACGGGACCTACACACTGAACAAGACGTACCGGCCCGTGTACTTCCACGAGTTCTGCGACAGCCACGAAGCGAGGAAGAGGTATTGGGCGAGGAGTTTCCTCGGCTGGACCAACCTAGAGAAGGCGAAGCCAAACAAGGCCCATGAGGCTTGCGGGGACCTGGGGCGCATGGGTGTTGTTGGAAGTATCATTACGCAGAGTGGGTGCTCTCTGGCAAACTCGACAGCATGCTAACGGGTTGAGCAGATGTAGACTCGTTCCACCCAAAGGCGCACCCAGACCTCCCCACCATCGAGCTGCACGGCTACCTGCGCAACCTCGTCTGCCTCACCTGTCGCAACGAATACTCGCGCCGGTCTTTTCAGAACCAACTCACCACCCTGAACCCCTCCTGGGCCGCTTTTCTCGCCGACATGATCGAAGCGGGCGCCCTAGACACCGAGAATCCCGACGAGCGCCGCAAGAAAGGGCTCAAGTCGAACCCAGACGGTGACGTCGACGTGCCAAACGCCCCGTACACCACATTCCGATACCCACCATGTCCGACGTGCCTGGAGAAGCCGCCAAAGCGCGCAGACGGAGGCAAAGTCCACGTACAGGTCGACAAGGATGGCGCCTGGGACCCGGCGAGCGAAGGCGGAGTGCTGAAGCCTGCGGTTATAATGTTCGGCGAGTCTATACCCGCTGCCACAAAAGTCGCTGCTGAAGAGGCAGTCGATGCAGCAGGCAGGATACTCGTCATTGGAAGTAGTCTTGCAACGTACTCTGCCTGGCGGCTGGTGAAGAAAGCAAAGGACATGCAGATGCCCATTGGGATACTCAACATGGGTGGTGTCCGGGGCGAGGAAACCTTCTTTGGAAACGTCGAGGACACCAATACTGGCCGGGAAGCTGCGCGCTTAAGTGAGAACGCGGAGAAGGTTCTACCGCAGGTTGTGAGGATACTACAGGAAATGAAGGAGACAAAGTAGAAGATATATGAAAGACTACAAAGTAAATCACTGGCTCAGCAAGATACAATTGACTCAATACGGTAATGAAATTGGCCGTGAAGGCCGCCAAGCTAGCTAAACGATGCGCAGCATTCTAGGTATAACTTCCCATCCAACTCCAACCTTGCGTAAATGTGATGTCATGTGATGAAGCAATTCATCCATCCAACGCGCGCCTGTACTGCCGAAAACCCAAGCCAAACCCAAAGAAACCTTACGCAATACCATCACTATCCATTCCCTCTCCCTTTTCCTCCCCATCAATGTCCTCAACAACCATCGTAAACCTGTCTTCCTTAAGCTTCATTCCCGGCGCCATAACCTCCCCCTTATCTCTCTTCTGCATCAGCGTTCCCAAGTCTCTGCCTGGAATCGCCCTCAGATCCTCACTACAGCTACGGCAAATCCGCAACTGACACCACGTACACGCCCACTTCCTATCTTTGTCGTTCTCACGGCACACCATGCAGCCCATGGGCTGGAAAATATTGTTAGACCAGATGTTATGGCAATGTCTTGTGTAGCAGGAGAGTTGTGCGGGCGTGATACGTGGAATGTAAGACACGGGCAAAGGGATTGGTCGGCGGGTTAGGGGCTCGAAGGGAGGCGGTGTGGGTGGGGTTGCTGATTCTGTGCGCAAGTCGTCAACGGGCGATGTTGGGACCGAAGGTCCCGGGAAGGGGGAGAGGTTGTAATCTTGGAGGTCGGATGATGCTGGGCGGGATGATGGGGCACTTGTGGGTCGTTGGAAGCCCGGGGATGGTTCGGGTGGGTCTAGTGATGTGGTGCGGATGGGTAGTTGCGTCTCAGCCGGTGGAGTGGCGGCTTGAAATGGTGATTCCGACGTTGCGAGGTTTTCCTTCTGCTCTGTTGGCTGTTGCTGGGGCTCGGTGGTAGAAACAGCAGGTTCAAAGCTAAAAGGCCGTCTCTCATCTTTTGGTGGTGGCAGTGGGGAAACCGGAGAGATCTCAGCATCCTTCTTTGCCAGGACTGGCTTCAACGTCGGGGAAGGTGTCATCTCGGGCGTAATGGTGTGTAATTGCATCGTGGGGATTGGAGGAGCCGGCCTCGTTGCCTAAGAGATTTCAGTCAGCATACAATATTCTTCTATTGGAACAGGATCCAGGTACCCTTGAGTTTGCGAACATTGGAACGCAGTACAACAACTACCGTACAAGTACTGGAGAGGGAAAGGGGAGGCAAATATATACCTTCAAGACGTTGAAGCCTGAGCTGCTTTTGCCGCGAAAGTGAAGGGGCGATGCCGGGGCTTTGACACGAGGGTTTGAGGGAAGACCCGTGAAGACCTTCTTGGGTGGTGCAGGGACCTTGGTGTCTTGTTCTTCCTCTGGTGTCGGTGGGAGCTCTGCTTCCGTGTTTCGTGGCTTTTCGGCGGGCTGAGGTGCGACAGCCTCGGGCGTGTTTGCTTGACTGTCGACACTGCCCTTCCTTGAGACAGCATCTGATCGCTGGCTATCCACGCTCAAGTTTCTGGGCGCTGATGTGGGGGGCATGGGAGCGCCCTTCCTCCCTCGCGGTCCGTTATTCAGTTCTGCCAGACTTTTGAACTTTTTGAGACCTTGATCTGGTACTGCTTTACGCCCAATAACTGGTGATGTGGTTGTCGTAGACGTCTCCGTAGAGTCTCTGCTTTCGCCTTGGGAAAGAAGCGAATCGTTTCTCGCGAGGTCCGCCGCTGGCCTTGACGATTGGCTTCCCGTGTCAGACTGCTTAACCGACCTCCGCCTCTCGGACTTTGCAGGTGGTGGAGGTGGAAGATCTTTCCCCTCTATCGCTGAAGAAGGGAGAGACTCTGATCGTGCCAAGAGTGCTGGGGTAGAGGGAACAGTCGCTGTCGAACCGTTGCTGATGGTAAGCTTGAGAGATGCTGGCTTAGATTCGCGAGATAGGCTACGTGACTCGATCCTTCTCCTGGGTCGAGGTGGAGAGCCTGGTACCGGACTTCTTGGAAGAACAGGTGCGTCCTGGTCATCTATTCCCTGTTAGCACTATTCGCTCAGGTTTACAAAATCTTGGCTTTGTTCATGCGGCTCCCTAAGCGACGGCAAAGCAATGATAATGTATCACCACGCAGACAGCACATTGACATGCGAAATCAAGGTTGCAGTAAGACACACAGTCTGTATCAGCAAACGCTTGATGAATACCCAAACACGGATGCAATCCACCATAATAGAATTTGCGTGATCCCTGCTTACCTCTCAGCTGAAACTTTGCTTCCATTCTCAACGCAGCTGGAAGCGGTTTACGTGCGATGCTATCTGATCGTGGCGGAGGCGCAGGAAGCTTTTTGTCCGCAGGTACAGGTGACCAGGTTGAAGGAGATGCGTCACCTCGGCCAAAAGAGTTGCCATAATCGTTAAGTAGTGCGCTGACAATGTCTTGTCTGGATGCATGCGCGGATAACATGCTTCGTTGAGCCATGACGTCGGTCATCATAGAGTCGAGATGTGGAATGTCGTGTATCAGTCCAAGTGGAGGTAGCGGTCAAGGAACGGTGTCGGATTTATGGAAAGTGTTCGAGAAGACGTTGATAATGAATGTGTGTAAGGAGCGTGGTGGCAACAAAGAGAGTGACTAGGCCGTGAAGCAAGATGAAGAGACAGGCCAGCCCGATTAATATCGACTTTGTCAACGAGTACAAGTCATGAGGGAATGAGAGGAGTGAGAGGGACACGCATAGCAAACCGTCGCGGCGAAGCTGGACGTCTCAGGTACAAGAAAGTGCATGGGACACGGCTGACAGAAGACTGGTCGGGCCTTTCAAACGCATGAAGTGTTTGACACAAGAGCCAGGAAGAGGCTGGCCTGGCACAGCTGACGACCAACGGCTGCGCGGATCATCCATGCAAGGATGGAAGGCGTTGGAGATGACAGGATGGTCCACAGCTCCACCGCGGCGCGGGAAACCATCATTGTTCTGCTGAATTGGTCCAGGGGGTATGCCGGCCGACCTGGCAATTTCTCACCACAACCAGCCTTGACATGGACGCAGTCAAGTCCATAGTGCAAATCAAGCGCATGTCATCGACGTTGTACAGAAGGCCCGACAACGGGAAGCTGAAGCACAACGTTGATGTGTAACGTCCCAGGCGACCGCTTTCTGTCAAATCACAGCACCCCGCAAGGCTGATCAGCACGTGACGAGAGTCCGCCACGTTTCAGGCTTGTTCGGAGGAGATCGAGAAGACATGCCGAGCAGGTGATCAGACCCACAGCCGGACATGCGCTGACGTGTGACGTTCGCAGATCCACATGTCGTCCTTGTCCGCCTTGCTTAGAGTCACCATATCCATCGCGCACTATGCTGTAATTTCCTTTCCTTCGGAAACAAATGCGTCGGCCGAAACGAAATGACAACGACGGGGACAGGGTGTAAGCAAATCGTCAGCGGGAGCGGACCAAAGGGCGCGATCGTGACGGATAGATTACCTGGGTATGTGGCGTCGGTGACCAAGAATCCCAGGCTCATGGGTTGTGCCATGGCCCTTCATATTACACCGGAAGACTCACATCTAATCATTGATCAAGCGCTCAATACTGGTATTCGTGAAACAAGTTCAAAAAATTGCTTTTTGTGTAGCTGACTTCTGATCTTTCGATCACAGCTTGTGCAATGTTACTGGTGTAGACGAAAGGCGCCTCCATCATGGCGAACTTTGTACACCTCCAAGTGTCTCGTCGTGCTTCGACAGGCCCGATCGCGGCGAAAGCCAACGCTATGGGCCAAAGGACCCCATGACTATCCCGCCAGGTTTGCAACGATCCAAGACAGCCAAAAAAGAAACCTCCCAAGCGCCGTCGCTAATGACCAGTGGATCCTGGATATCAATAAGAACTAAGGTAAAGTATTTACAAGTATAGAATGTATAGGGTATCGCTCCATCACTAGAAGAAGTAAAGTAAAAACATTAAGATCAAGCTTATCGTGGGTGTAATTGTAGTGGTGGTCGTCGATGCAGCCCCTTTGAGTGGGGCGGCCGTGACGTTGACAAATGTCGAGCCGCATGCTATTGATATTTGCTGAGCGGCCGAGGTGTAGGTTTTTGAAAGAGGTTGTGTGGCGTTGTTGCTGTAAGTAGCAAATACACCCATTGCTTGTTGCAAACAAGAGTTGCAGGTTGGCCGTGATCCGCCAGGCAATTCTTGGCCAATGGGTAGGTAGTATGGGTATGCATCTCCCGGTGATGACATGTTGCTGACGGCGTTCGCAAAGCAATAGTTTCCCTCGTCATCATGCAAACAGCTTGCCTGGTAAGACGGTTGGTATGCAACGAGGCCATTGTAAGCCTGTAGCACCAGGGGATTGTCGGTGTCGTAGTCGGCCTTGCATGCCGTTTCCGATAGCAGCTCCACTGCGAAATTATCCAGGATAGGTTTGCATTGCGCTGTATTTACTCCACAGGTTGCATCGAGCGTCTGTGTGATGCGTAGTGTAGATTTGGAGGCGTCGAAGAAACCGCTTGATGTCTACATGGTACCTATTAGTCAAACTCTTCTCTCTCGTATTATCGAAGTACCATACCTGCAATAACAAGGAGAAAGGGTGGCAGTCGTTGAATTCCTGGCTCTGACGCAGGCGATTAAGGAAGTTTGTGCATGTGTTGGTGAAATTATTTGATAGGCCAGTATCGAATGCCGTGGGGACTTTGAAACCGGTGCCAGAGCCATCAGAGTCGGTTGTAATGGCGCGTTCTGAAAGAGTTGCGGAGGGTGTGTGGGTAACATCGTTGTCGCGTTTTAGAGGAGGCATCAATCGCGACGCGGTGGGTGGTGGGCTGAGATCCAGGTATAACGCCGATCCCGTCCAGGCAAGGTCGTCTTCCACCAGCAGGGCCGGTCGATCACCATAGGCTTCCGTTGCGGATACGGGGGCAGCCTGGGAACTGCAGGATAGAGATACGACGAGCAGCAGAAGCAGCACGCGAAATTGACGGCCGAGGCGTGGTGACACTCGAAGATATAAGGGGACACCGCGGCAGCGGTTTTCGTGTTGCCTCCTCCGCGTTGGCAGGGGAGCATGGTGCGACAAGATCGCTACCGACTCGCATTCGAAACATTGAGAACCCATCTCCAATAAACGGTACTATAGCAGTCGAGGATGCTATTATTAACCGCAGAATCTGCTCGGAATCCGGAGGCCCATGGCCGTACGTAGGTACCGTTGCTGTGACCAGGAGGTTTGCCGCCACTGTCAATGACTGCCTAGATACTTTGTCCAACCTCAGATTCGGGTACCTTGCAGTGGTTCAGCAAGTGTCCGAGGGCTTTTTGCGGGCCGCCAGGGGTAGGGTAACGGTGGTGACTAGGAAAAGGCAAAGAGTGACGGCCAGCTGGGGGGACTTGCTTATCAATGTCGATCGCAGCCAGAAGGACGGTACAAACAGCCTTTCGTCGATTTATTTAGCAGCCAGAACGTGTCCAGGCACCAGGAGCGACCGGCCCTTATGATGATTGCCATGCAAGCAGCGAATCCTTCAAGCCTCCGGCGCCCATGCCTGATATGCTAGTAGCTAATAAGCCACGACGGGGCCCCCGTGCAAGCCAAACTCGTTTCTTCGGCTGATGACTGGCACGCGATCCGGGTAATAGAAGCTTTCGACCAAATCACGATCTGTGGGCGGAATGACTATGATAGGCCGGATATGCACTGGTTTGTACAATGCAATAAAACGCAGCCAAATCGAGCGACGTTCTGGCCAGAAAAAACGGGACGCGATTGTCCCTAGGCGGCGCGGTCCCCAACGCCTTCGCCAAAGCCTGCCCCCTGCGCGGCAACAAGGCTCACGCTGCAGCGCCAGAACGCAGCCGCTACAGGGCATGTCGCGAGGGGCAGCGCTGTCAACGTAACTTTCCGGCAAGCGTTGGAAGTTGCGTTACCCCTCCATGGTGCGGATAGTGATGTAGAGATTGTGTTGTCCTGTTGAACATGGAGGTGGGCTCGTTGCGCAGTGCGTTAGTGCCGGAGGTATAGCCTGGAAGTCGCTGCAACTGTCTCGCCATCACGGCACCCAACACTCTAAACACTGTCGCCAAGCCAATAAGCCACTGCGAGCCACGCCCCTATCGGCTCCGTTCCTGAACATCCTTCGTGTCTCGGTCAGCTACAGAGCGTGAGACGATGTTCACATTGGACCACACACCCGCTCGCTGGCCTCATGCAGCGCGCGTGGCCGATAGTCTTCTCACGTCGACGTTTGAGGGCAGGTGTGTAGAACCAGCGAAGAAGTTGTCCGTCTTGTCTCCCAGCAACTTTCTTGTTCGGCGTCCTGTGCCTCTACCAAAATTGCTCAAAATCGTCTCGTCAGCAAACCAACATCGATGGCTATGTTGGCAAGCGGCGACGCACGTATATCCTACAAGTGACCCGGCCCCCCTACGCACTTACCTATTTCGCAGGCACAGGCCGCATGGAGTAACAACTTGTTCCTTGCCATTCATAAATGTCAGCTGTCAGTCACTGTCGAGCGGCAGTGTTAGTGCTCACGTTCCG